TAGAATAGAATAGAATAGATGCCCTTGAAGGGTTCTAGGCCATTGTTTTCTTCTGCCATGGGAATGGCACTAAATGCCCCATGCTGAGCTAGTTTCTTTTCCTGCAGGATTATTCCCATGAGCTGGTCTGCATCACTAAAACAGAAAGGATAGTTGTGCCAATTCGGGCCATTGCTGCCCGAGCTATCCTGACCATCCCAGACCAGCTGAACTTCTCGGAGTGTCCGGTCAAGAGCAGCACCAAGAAGACTCTGCTGCTTCGCAACACTGGCAACCTGGAGGCTCATTACTACATCAGCACCCAGAGGTGAGGCAGCTCCTCTGTCCTTGTGCAAAACACCTTTGGGTGATAATAGGCTTGGCAAAGAGCAACAAAAGGAAGCTGAGCATCAGGGCTGCACTGCAGCTCTGGCTGGAAGTGAGCAGGATGGATGGCATCTGCTCTTGCTTTCAGTGCTCCTAGCAGGATGCAGCCTTTGAGCTTTCTCTGTCCCACATTTCTTGGAGGGTGCTGGAACATGTGAGGAGCTGCCTTGCACCCTCCTGAGCACCAGCAGCTTCTGAAATGGTTACCAGAGTCAGCCAAATAGCCCCATTCTCTGGGAGGCCACAGGCACGTGGCTGCCCAGTGCTCCTCTCATGAGCTGCCCTGCTAATGGTGCTTCATTTAGCTGGGCTTGGATCCTTCAGATTGTAAATGGCATCCTCCCTTTGGGTCTTGTTTCCATGTCTCTGTATTGCTCTCATCTGCATTTACACTCTTCCAGAGTTTTGACTGCTCCTTTTCTTAGAGCAGCTTTCATTGAAATGCTGATAAAATGTGCCCTTTATAGGCTAAATCGGGATATTAAATAAAATAATAAAATATTATTTTATAATTATAAAAATAAACCAAAGAGCCACGCTGCAAATTCAACAGTAATTATTTCTTGGTCTTCAAGGAAAAGTTCCTTCTCCCTGTCTGATTCCTAGGCTGTAATCTCACAGGACAGGTAGTGGCCTAACATTTGCATCTCTGGAGATGAGGTTGATAGGCAGCAGGACAAGAGAAATTCCTGAGGCAGTCAGTGTCAAGTTGTGCATGCAGACAGCTCTTAATGCTCTCAGTGGTTTCACAAACCATTCTCTGATGGGATTGCTGGCAGTGGGATCCTTGGGTCTCATTGCAGAGAGCTGGATGCAGAGTATGGGGCAGATGAGGTCATTTTATCCCACGGGATCTCCTGAGGTCTGTATCCCCTCAGAAGTGGGTCAGCAGCTGTTTCTGATCCTGTTTTGTCTCTTTTCTGTTGCCTGAGGTTTCTGTGCTCCCTGCTTGCCCAAGGGAGCCGAAGTGACCTGCACTGCAGAAGGAATATCATCCCCAGATGTCCCCTGAGTCCTGATCTCTCTCTTTGTGTTGCAGTCCTTTCTCCGTGGTTCCGGCCATGGGAGCTCTGGGTGCTGGTGACAGCGTGCAGGTGACAGTGGGATTTCACCCGCTGACCACTGGTGCCCATTTTGGGTCCATGGTGGTGTGCTACAACACAGGTGAGTGCTGGGCACTGCACGGGGCACAGGACACTTCTCCAGCACCACTCCCTGTTGTGCCAGCCACCTCAATTCCCTCTAGATGTACCTCCCCTGTTCCAGCTCAACCCCAAAGAAAACTCAGAACCAGTTGGTGCTTAGGGGGCTGATAAAGTGCATCCCCTCTAACAGGACTAAGATTTTTGGGCTCCTGTTTTGCTGAGAGTTGCTGAGTGGAGGAAGGAGGAGCCCTGATTCTCCACTGCCACGTGGCTATGCCTGGCTGAAGTTTTGTTTTATTCTGGCCAGTGCTGTGTGTGAGGTGTGAGGTCTCCATCAGACTCTCTCCAATGCAGTGTATTTCTTGCACACCTCTGTCCCATAGGCTGCTGCTCCACTGGCTTGTCATAGACCCTTGTACTGTGTTGCCCTCTACACATATATATAGTTTCTGTCCAATAACATTTTCAAATCCTCAAGTACTTTTTGGTGACAAATCAAGACAATTTTTTCCTTGTCCCCATTTCCCAGGCCATTCATGCTGTTGCACACCTCTCACATCTATCTCCCATTTGATTTCTTGACTGAGGAATCCCATTCAGGCTTCATGTGGAAGCTGCTCTGTACTTACTGATCTTTCCTTGGTCCCTTTTTTATTCAATTTGAAATGCTCCAGTTTGGTTTTTGAGATCAGAACAATATCAAATATTTCAAGACTGATGTGGCTGTGTGTTTGGACAGGGAGCTGATGATGATGATGATGATGATTTTCATGGTGTTCATTTTGTAGTGGTTTGTCATATTGCAGAGCCAGGCTGGTTGTGTTTCCTCACCTGGGTCCCCTCCTGCTGTGGGCTTCACCTCACTTGTTCCTCTGGGCCTCCTTTTTCTGCTCACATGCCCCCAGGTGGATTTGCTTGTCAGCAGCAAGGGATCCAAGGGATCAGGAGAGACAGGAATCTCATGGGATGCCCAGGGGAAACCCCAGGCAAGCCAGGACTGAACAGGGCTCCTCAGCATCACCTGAAGGACTTGGATGCAGAAATCCTGGTGATCTGAGTGGGTCACCTGAGCACACCTGACAAACCTCACTGTACCTTGGGGCCAAATCTCCACAAACACACTCCAAAATGAGCTGTTTTAGGAGGTGCCCAGGACACCCTCACGCTGCACACACACAGCTGTCAGGACGTTATAAATGTGCTGACCCCTAGAACTGCAAATAGAGCTAAAAGCTGTGACCCTTTCTTCTGTCACCTGTGGTTTGCTCTGTTCCTTGGGCTTTCATCAGCAACTGAGCTGAGCAAAGGCTCCCCTTTGCTTTGTTCCAGGTGAAGAAAGGATCCACACAAACCTTCAGGGAGAAGCTGTAGATGTCAGCATCGGGTTGAGGACGTATTCCGTGGAGCTGAAGAAGACTTTCATCACCACGTCAAGCCACACAGCAATGTTCATCGAGAACAGGAGTAACATCAGAGCCCAGTTCCAGTGGAAGACTTTTCCTAGTGAGGAAGATGAGAATGAAGAGAAGAGGAGGTTGGTTTGAAAGATGCATTTCAGTGAGATCCATGGGCCAAGACTAAAACTAACGTACGGCCTCAGGAGGGTGTTGGTGCTTTGGAATGGCTCAGGCCAAGTAAAGCATCCCTGGCATTAGGGGGTGTGTCCCTGGGCTTCAGGAGCTCAGCACTTGACATTCCAGTTCCATTTATACCCCAGCCAGGGATGGCATTTTGGGAAGGAAAGGTTGATGGCAATGACTGGATTTCCTCAAGTTCTAACGGGGCAGCAGCAGCAATGGCTTTTGGTCATTTGTAAACCATTGCTGGGGGGGAAAAAAAGGGAAGAAAGCAAAAAGAAAATAAAAGGCAAGCACCTCACAACCAGCCAAAAGACACAACCCACTACAGAAGGAGGGTGGGTGGCTGCATCCTTTCTGCTCAGCCTGCTTGTGCAAACTGCCCTGCCAGAACTGCCCTGCCAAAACTGCCCTGGAAAGCCCCTGCTTGCTGTGGGCCAGGTCATTTGCACTCCTCAGAGCCATTTTAAGCTGCCTGCAAAGGACCAGGAGATGAACACTGGCCCACTTGAATGGCTGGCAAGAGGGTCCTTTAGTGCCCTGGGCTTCTTGGTTTTCCACTGTTCTCTATCTGCTTACACGATGTCTGACTTTCATACAAGCTCTGTGTGTTAAAAGAAAATCCTGTGACCTTCTCTGGCTGCTTCCCTGGGCTGTTTATTTCCATTTTTCCCACTTGCCTGCCTCAGCCTGGACCCCAGGTGATCCACTTTCCCCTCAGAAGCAACAAGGTTTCCCCAAAGGAAACTTCAGCCTGGTTTTGGTTTCATGGGTTTTTTTCCAAAAGCATCTGTTTTCACACCAGTTTTATGACAGTCCTAGACTGTCACCATGACATTTCATTCTTCCTTATTTCCAGTCCTAGGGATGGTTTTAGCTCCAAGGCCACTGTCCTGCTGTCAGAGAAGCTTTTGAGGTCTTGGAGCAGAGAAGACTTTTTTTTATGAGAGGAGATAGTGTAGGATCCTTTTCCTCTCAGGACTACTACAGGATTCTACTACCATGCACTGGGATGGGACCCATAAAGCTCTGGATCACAAAAAGGTCTCTCCAGGAGTTTGCTGTCCCCCTCCTGCACAACCAAGTCCCTTCCCTTCTCAGAGCCTCTGTTTTCATGCATATAAAACCTTGAATGTCATTGAAGGGATGCAGTGCCTGAATTCATCCTTTTCCTTTGGAAGTGCTCTGGGATGCTCTTGAGAAAGGCAGAGCAGGGAACAGGGCAGGTCCCAAAGAGAAGAAACCAAGAGTGATGCTGGTAACACAGAGCTGTGACCCAGCTTCATCTCCCCTTCCCAGGGAAGTCCTGCTCCATGATCTTTATCTCCTCCCCTGAGCATCTCAGTGGTAGGAAAAGCCAGTTGAGGTGGCTGCTGGATTGTCCCTCAGTTTTGGCAGAGGCTTTGAGGCCGGAGGTTCTCTTAAGGGATGCTGGCTTTCCAAACCTCTCCTGTGTTTGCAAGTGTGCAGTAAAACTACCTGTTGTACCAGTGAACAAGTTATGCTCTGATCCACTTGGGATTGCCATGGCTTGGGGTCGCCCTTGCTGGGAGCTGCTGCTGCTCCTCCCCAGGTGCTTTGCTCTCCTGCACTTCCACTTCTCTCTGCAAATCTCGGGCTCATTGAACCATCTGCTGGCTTTGTCTGTCCCTGTGGCTGCAGGCAGTGTTACTTGCTGCGATCACCGAGAGAGGCCTGCGTGGACAACACGACGGGAGAGAGAAGAAGAGCGAAGAAGAAGGGTTCCTGTGAAGATCGCCGCGCCATCCTGAAGAGCAGCGTCCGGGAGAAGATGATGATGGTGAAAGAAGACCCCATGCTATTCTCCAATGATGCTTTTTCCCTTGAGCCACTGGTAAGTGATAGCTGAGAGCCTCACTTTCTTCCTCTAACTCTAACTCTCTAACTCCCTAACACTCTAACACTCTAACTCTTCCCTTTCCCCTTCCCCTTCCCCTTCCCTTCCCTCCTCCTCCTCTTCTGTTTATGCAAGTGAACCCCCACGTTCTCCCATCAACCAGAGCCCTGATTCTGAGGATTGGCATTGTGAGAGATGATGAATGCCTGGAGTCTGCACAGTGCAAAATCCCTTCTCATCTTGGAGTAAACCCCAGAATAATCCCAACCCCTGCTTTCTTTCCAAACAGGTTAAACTAATATTTTTATTTCCAGGGAAGGGGATCATGTTCTCTTCTTGCCAAGTGCACCAGTGCACAGAGGCAGTTACATACGCAGCTGACAGCAGCATGATGTGACCAACAGCTTGTGTCAGAGCAGTGGGAATGTTGTGGAGAGTGGGAGCTGATCAGCTGAGCATTGAGAGCTTCCAGTGGTGTATTGAGCTGGGTTTGGAGCGTTTCCTTGGGCTCCTTGTGTTGTTCACTCATCACTGATGCTCTAAATAAAGGCTTGCAGGACTGTGGTTGTACACAAGAAATGGGAAGTTTGAAGAGAAATGTTTTGCTGTCTCTTTCTGTTTCAGGAGGGAGAGATCGGGCCAAATAGTTCAGTCCAAATCAAGGTGACCTTTAAACCCCTAAAGGCCCGAGAGTATCGGAGTGTGGCTTACTGCAACATCTCAGGTACAGCTCCTTTCCCCTGCTTCTCTCAGCCCTACTGAAGCCATGGTGCAAGCCTGAGCCCACTGAGCTCCCCTGGAACTGCTGGGAAGAGTCCCTGGGCAGCAGGGCAGTGCTGGCACATGCCACTGCCCCTGCAGCTTCCAGGGAGTCTCCTGTGCAAAGCCAGGGTCAGAATCCTGGGTCTGGGTTACTGATCCCAGAACAACCCAGGCACTGCAGGGAGATGTTTTCATGGCACGGCTTTGCCAGCATTTCCTCAAAGGCCAGAGCAGAACAGCTTGAGAGAACAAGCACTAAGCCCCTCTAGACCAGTGACCTCCAGGATGGGTCCATTTGGCATGGATCCATCATCAGGCAGCAGGAGCTGAGTTAGAAATGTGCTCCCTGAGCCTGGATCACCTCCCACTGCCCACACACCACCAGACCAGAGGTGGCTGAGCCCCACTGAGCCCAGGGTCTTTGTAGAGGGACCAGCCTTGGCCAGCACCTGCTTCTCTCCCTGTGTGGGAATTGGCACCTTGCAGCTCCCAGTCTGTGGAGATAGAACACAATGCTGAGTGCCAGAAGTTGAGGGCTTGGGCAACAAAGTCTTGTGCTACTGGGCCAGGTAGTTTGGCAATTGCTGCCCAGCAGTCTGCCAGGTACAATTGCCAAACTCTTGATGAGCTTGTGCCTTCACTGAATGGATTTCAAAGCTCCTCTAGGTGCATGGGAAGGAAACCATAGAATCATGGTCACAACTCCCCTGGGGAGCCTGCTCCAGTGTCTCACCAGCCTCACAGTAAAACATTTCTTCCTAATACCTCACCTAAATTTCCTTTCTTTCCATTGATACCCATTACTCCTTGGGCTGTCACTTCAGGACATGAGAGATGTTTAAAACTCAGCAAACTGGTGGCTAAAATTGGAAACCAGCCCAAGGAATGGGTTAGAAATTGGAAGTCAGCCCCAAGGGAAATGTCCTGAGGGAAGAGAAGGGTCCAAATCTTCTCTTGCAATATCTTCTCTTGCAATATCAGGAGCTGGTTTTATCCAGCTCAGAGTCAGGGGCCAGCGTTCAGGCAGGCTGGAAAATAGAGTGTAACAGTGGGAATTATTGTACTGAAATGAGCATCTCTCCCCAGGCCGTGGGAGCAGGCTGCCCCTGCACCTCCGAGGGGAAGGCCAAGGACCCGTGGTTGAATTCAGCCGTCAAATGCTGAAACTTGGGAACATTTTTGTCAACACCTCCCACGTCTATGAGGTGAGCAGCAGGGGTTGGGATGGATCTTGATGGCTCCTGAGGCAGCAGCAAGCCTGGTGGACCTGTGGAATTCCTGACAACACGGGCAGTTGTGAGCAGGGAATATTGGACGTACTGGGCAGATCTGGTGGGGTCAGAAAGGTGTGTCTGCTGTTCATGAAGCCCCAGTCCCTTGGCAATGCCAATTTTTGGCAGCCTTCCTTGGGGGTCAGCTCAGAAGCTTCCTGAAAAACAACCCCTTGGCATATGAAACCCAGACTGGGTCAAAAAGCTGCACGTTCAGAGGCTTTTGTGGCAGCCCCAGACACAAGGCACCTTTGCACTGGACTGTTCAGAAGCAGCTGGAACAAACTGGCTGTGTTGAGCTTCAGTACCCTGCAAACAATTCTCAGTGGAGTGTCTCCTGCTTATTCCTGGGAGTCACAGGAAAGCCATCCAGCCTCCTGGCTCAGTGCTGGCCCTTGCAAAGGGCTTGGGATTCTTTCCTTTGCTGACCACTCCCTCACCACACTCCAGCCTTGCTGCATCCCTGACTCTAGAAAGACAAAAGTGTTCCTGGGAATAAAGCTAAGGATCTTTCTACCTCTTTGCCTCTCCCTCAAAATAGTGTCAAGTTTGCAAAAAAAATAGAGAGCAACTGAAAGAGGGAGAAAATAAGGCACTGCATCATGCCAGACTCTTTCAAAAGCTTGGCTGTGGAAAGGAAAAACACCCTGGGTTTTTTTACCAAAAGATGGTGCTGTCTCTGTATTTGGTGGTGATGCCTCGTTATCAATGTGTTGTTGTCATGATTTGGGAAAAGGTGAATGAGTAGATGGAACTGTTGGAGCTGTGCTAAGTGGGGCAGTGGCAGCTCTCTGGTGATTGACTACGCAGCTGCCCCACGTTGCTCTCAGGGCCAGCTCTGAATGAGCTTGGTGATGCTGGCCAGAGCTGGAGTGCTCTGTGTCCATGGGAGAAGCCCAGGGTGACTCTGGTTATGTGCAATTACTGCTGCTTTGCATGAAAACCCAAAGGCAGAACTTGTCCTGTTGTATTTTTGGACTTCTGCCTTTCAGCAGCACAAAGCATCTTCTGCCTTTTCTGGGTGGGAATTGCATCATTAGAAAATAACTGACAAGAAGGGAAGATTGCACATGAATTTCCCTTTTGCTTTCTTGCTGCTGCAGGTGAAACTGATGAACCGAGGAGCTATAGATGCTCCCTTCACCTACATCCCTTCAGCCACAACCGTGGGCCGCTGCTTCAAGTTTGCCCCCGAGGAGGGCGTCATTGCAGCAGGTGGGATCCAGACGATTCACATCTCCTTCAATGCCACCGTCCTGGGGAGCTTTGAGGAACAATTCCAGTTCCGTGTGGCTGCATCTCCTACGCCTGTGATCCTGACAGTCTGGTAAGGACTCTGGGAGCTTGCTGGGCACATCTGTAGCTGTCTCTGGGACATCCCCCACCTCCCTCATTTTGGGGTCGAGCAGAGGAAAAAGGAGTTTCCTGAGCTCTTCATCTCTGCTCTGATCCTGGCACTGCCCCAGTGTAGGGTGCCCGGGGGCTGGAATGACTCCTCCCTGCAGGGATCTCCCTCTGCCTTGGGCCATGGCAGGCAGTGGGATGGATCAGCTTTGGGCAGTAGCTGCTCTGGGCTGTCCCAGCTCAACACCCAGCAAAGCTCCCAGGGCTTTGGAGATGGGGCAGCCTGGGTGATTCTGCAGCAGCAGCAGTGTTTTTAAAAACTTCTGCTCATAATCCATCCCAAATGGGCAGCAGCAGCCTCACCTCACCTCTCATGGCCATGCTGTGGGGGACAAGCTGTGCTCCCAACTCCTGTGCAGAGAGTG